GTCAGGAAGACAAGAACCATATCATTGGGGTTTCAAATCAACACGAACCCTCTTCAGTCTTCATCAAGGTTTGAAACAAGCATTACACTGTAAAGCAAGTCTTTGGCACCATTTAAATCATCTAAAGATAAAAACATACCCTTCAGACTTCAAGGACTAAATACTACCATCCAGTTATTTGGGGAAAAACAAATGTCAAAACAAAAGAGAATGAAATTCAATACCCATCAAGCACATGGATTTGGCCCGGTTAACATCAAACAGTATCACTAGAGTTCAGGCTTATAGCAGGAATTCACAAACAATTGACCCAGTTTTAAAAGCCAAAAATAACTAAAACAGACATCTTTTTGCAGAACTAGATTTTTCTAAATTCCACATTTAGCTAGCGCATATGTATATAAAACAAATCCCAATAAGAACAACTACCATCCAGAACCAAATCCAAACTTCTGATTACAAATTTAAAGGCTACTGGTTATGGATCAAGCAGAGTTTAGTCTGAAACCCCATTAATGCATAAAGTAAAAGAACAAAATCAATTAAAGAGTAGTTCTTACTTGAGCAAGATAGAATAAAATTGCATTGGAAAATTAGAATCAAAACAAATCCCAATAAGAGCAACTACCATCCAGAATCAAAACCAAATTTAAGGGCTACTGGTTATGATCAAGCAGAGTTTAGTCTGAAACCCCATTAATGCATAAAGTAAAAGAACACAATCAATTGAAGAGTAGATCTTACTTGAGCAAGATAGAATAAAATTTTCATTGGAAAATTAGAATCAAAACATTTCTAGCATTGAATAACTGCGAACAACATAATATAAGTAAATGCAGTTGAACATTAAAAGGGCTAAAAAATGAGACAAAAACCACCATAAGAAGAACACTCTTCTTTCTGATACTTCAACGGTAAGACTTCTGGAACCTAGCTCTGGCGCCACGACCACCGAACTTCTTGGGCTCGCACCGCCTGGGATCAGCGACGAGCAGAGTCCTATCGTACCTCACCAAGATGTCTTTAATCTCCTTCTTCTGCTGCTCATCCACAAACTTTTGGTAGTAGGCGACAAGAGCCTTGGCGATGCTCTGCCTGATCGCGTACATCTGTGAGGTGTGCCCTCCACCTTTGACGCGAATCCTCATGTCCACTCCGTTGAAGCGGAGCGTCCGAGGAGTAGGATTGGCTCAATGGCCTTGAATCGTAGGATCTCAGGCTCCACAAGCTCGATGGGGCAGCCATTGATCTTGATCAGTCCTTTCCCGCGCTTGCAGTAGGTGACTGCCACCACCGTTTTCTTGCGTCCAAAGCACTGAACGGACCCCACAGCCGGTGAAGGTGAGGCCATGGTTGGGGTTAGGGCGGCCGGATGTGCTGCGGCTCTGGAGAGGGTGAGATGACGAAGGGGCTGAGTTTATTAGGGTTTCCTCAGGGTTTTATTTTTTATTTTTTAGGGGGAATTTAAGTAGGTCCAAAATTTCTACTAAAACAAAATTATAACTCTCTATTTCTTATTGTTACATTTTACTCCCACTAGGAACACATTGACTGTTACTTAGAAATTAATAAAAAGTTAGACCACCTTTCTTTTTTCAAATCTTTCTCTTGAATCCGCCAACAATTACAATTACGATTATGTTATTTCATAATTTAAATTATAAAATATTTTTTTATAATTAAATAACAACTTAATAATAATCTTCTTTTTTAAGTGAACGTAAAAAAAAAATATTTAGTTTAAAATTTAAGCAAAACACCATGCAAGGACAATGCAAGTAAAAAAAATATAATATAATTATTTTTTAGTATAAAATTAAAAAAAATTAAAAAAAATTAAAGTATTTAGAACCAATAAATTATTATTGATACTAAGGGTTTGTTTGGTATAACGGTTAAAATTCAATGGATAGCGGATAACAGGTAACAGATAACGAATGATGGTAGTGGGTAATAGGTGGTGGTTAGCGGATAGCAGAAAGTGGGCAGCAAATAATAAATAGTGGATTCGATAAATATAACTATTTGACTATACAGTAGTTAGCGGTTATTGTTTAACATTAAATGACTAATAAGGATATGTTTAAAAACAAATAAGTGTATTTTTTAAAATATTTTTATTTTTTATT